TGTGGTTAGGAGCCTTTAAAACCGCCAGTGAAAGCAGATTAATTGCCGTTTTCTTGAAAAAAAAACATGCGCCTGCATTTCTTGTGCCATGATTACATCAGAAGTTATCACCTGCTCCCTCTCCCCAAACCAAAAGATCAAAATATAAAAAGAACCAGATGAGACAAAAAATGAAATTCAATGTCAGGCAAGCGCATGAAGACTGCATTTATGACAGCCTACCACCACGCATCCCAGGTAAGGCATCTATTATGGATGCGCATGCCCATCAACGCTGACGTGCCCTGGTCTATCCTCCATGTTGGTCCCGCGCATCTACCACGGGCATGCTCATTCTATGACATTATCGTACACACACCTATTGTCAGTCTATAAAAAGGTGGGGGTGTTCAGTTGAAAACACCATTCTTCGTTAGTTCGACCACATGAAAACACGTTCCACGGTAAAGACATTATCCCCATGCACCCCGGCACTCTCCAATAAATGACATTTGAAAATGATTGAGCACTTGAATTTCGATCGTCTCACCACACGATGTTTGTCTTTAAACACGTGATTCACGTTACGCAATGAGATGCAGCAACTGATGACCTCTCTCGAAATGCCATGGATCCAATAAATCTTGCTGTTATTGCTATCTTTAAATATATGGTACTATCATATTTGGAAAGTAACCATCATTTTGGAGCGTTAAATTATAACTGAAGTTAGGTATATATGGCTCTTCTAAGGGCCTTCTACTTAATAGGATGGCAACTGGCAAACAGATCTTTTCGGTAATGCATCGCCAGGCCGCTACAATTGCATAGAGAATCAACATGTGCGCTGCGGATATGATTCTTATGAAGAATAAGCTTGCCGACAAAGACAACGAGGACTGGAATGGCCAGTTTTGGATTGTGAGCGAATAAAAGTATGGCCCCAGCGATCGCATCTTCTTCTCGATTACTTCCTGGAACTCGCAGGTCCCCTTGTGTTGGCAATTGTTAGCTGTCACCAGCCAGCCATACCCACCACCAGGTTTTGCACCTCGGAAACTCAGGCACCGATTGATGTGTGGTTCAGGGAGATAGTCACGTTCCTCGTTCCCAGGCCGCCCGCATGATGAAAATCGGTGTGTTTTTGTTGAGGCTACGGAGGTCGGGGGTATGGTGTGGGCAGTGAGCCTGACTGCCATTAGGGGGGGGGAGGAATGGCCTGTGATCATCGCTTGGAGTCGACAACAGGGCCTACCTCTGCAACTGCAGAAAGGAAATATGCACTTCTAAGACGTCATTTTCTAGAGTATGTAGTAAGTGAACTCTTAAGATGACCTCTAAAAACAGAGGATCCCGAGGTCTTTTCTCGCATGTAATCTAGCTTTGTTTTCAAGACCTGTCAAGCCTTTGCTTAGGGTATTCACATCTCCTCTTTCTTGCCTTCAGGCAACTCTAGGCATGCGTCGACCACCTTTAAACTGTGTTTCTTTCCCCGTTCTCGCAAGTGTGCAAAAAACTCTGATTTACGGTTGTTTTTTACCTACTCGCTCCTTTATTCTTTTGCCAGTTAGCGGGCATTTTCCTCGAAGAATGCAAAGAACATATTTTTCAACTTTACACGCCGTATGTTCGGCTTCACAGCCATAAGCATGTTACGTCTGTGCAAGGTCTCCATGTGCCCATAGACGGCCCTTCGTTGGCTGCCAATGTAACTTCCTCGCCCATGATTAAATTTATCGCATGATCCATCTATTTTGTACAACATTTTCTGATTCAGATCGACTGATCCGCGGGATTCTAACGCTAACTACAGACGTTCTCCGGCCACCGATGATCGCAGCCAATCTGAGTCGCCGAATGAAGAGGAGGAGGAGGAGGAGGAGCAAGACTCTAACTGGGTGGACAATCTTGAAAGGCACGCCTCTCGTCAACAGCGCGGCCGACGCTGCATGCCAGGAGAGCGTCCGCCCTCAGCGCGACCTGTCTCTCGCAAGGGATGTGACCAGGACAGCTATGCCCGTGACCGTGAGACTCTATTTGAAGACAGTGGTGAGGAGGAGGAGGAGGAGGACG